TTTTTTTTTTTTTTTTTTTCCGGGACAATGTGGGGTTTATTTTTGTTTTGTTTTCTAGCGATCTATTGGCAGAAGACGATACGATGAGAACGAGGACCTCTCGGACGTGGAGGAAATTGTCAGCATCAGGAGTTTCAATTTGGAAGAGAAATTAAAGAGTAAAATGTATCACGGGGATTTCGTGCATGCCATGGACGGGAAAGGTAACTGCCTGGGGTAGGGGGGGGTGTGTGGGGGCTGCCCAGCCCGGGCTCTCCCCGCTGCCGGAGCCTCCACGTGGAGCTCCGCGCTTGGCTTCGTATTTCGCGCCCGCTCCCCCTTCCCGGGGATCCGGTGACGACGCCGGGCCCAGCAGCGGGGGGGCAAAGGGGGTGGGGGGGCCCTGCAGCTGCTGCCCCGGGGCCCTGCAGCCCACACGGCCGGGGTTTGAGGGGAGGGAGGGAGGGGGCTGCCCCGTCCCGCACCCTGCACCCCGCGGGTGGGTTTTGCCCCGACACGGGGCATGGGAAGCGGTGTGGTGAGAAATGACAGCGCCTTTGGGTGTCCCCCCCCACACCCCCCCGTGATTCGGTACCGTGACCCCGACGCACCACCGAGCTGTTGAGGAATTAGTCCTGGCAAAGGAGAGGCAGAAATCCCAGCCCCCACTTAGCCGGAGGGGATTCCTGCCCCCTTCCCCCCCACCCCTGTTGAATCCCGGACCCCTTTTACCAAAGGATGCTATTGATGAGCCTGTTCACCAGGGTCGGGGACTTAAAAATCAATAACTTCTTTGTGTTTCTATCATATATTAAATTACAGCGCTCCCTGAAGTGAGTTGGTTTGCTTAGGTGACTTAAATTACGGCGCGGTTAAGCAAAGCCAGACAGCCCAGCTCTGCAGCGCGGTTGCCGGGCTGGAAGGAAAATGGGAAAGGTTTGCCCGGGAATCAAACGGGCCGGGGGGGAGGTGGTGAGTCACCTTTATTTACTTGCAGCGTTGTTGAAAGGGATCCTGAATCCCAGATGGCTATCACCAAAACTCGGCCTTACTGAGGACTCCCTAGGCTGAACTGGTTTTCTAAGGAAAGAGTACTTTGGGCTGTAATCCTCCTGGAATGGTTATAACTGTGGAGCCACTAATCTAGTTTAGAAAATTTCCTTTTCTCCCTTAGGCTTAGTTTTGCATGAGCATTTTAAGCTCCTTTTAGAAAAGTTAATGTGGTGGAGAAATTAAATACCTATCTTGTTTAGGAAGGTATTTGTTTAGGAGATAAGCTCAACCCTGACCCCTCTTCCTCCAAACAAAACAAACACCTATTTTTTAGCTGGGAAATGTTAATTAATTTTCCAGAAAATGATTGCATTCTACCCTCATCTTCCAAATACTCCAGTGGTTGCCATTGCTACATGCTAACTATAATCCAATCCACAGCTTCCCTAGCTCAGCAGCTCTAAAATCTTTGGGCAGCTTTCTCCTTTCTAGGGAACTTGAAAATAAATGAGTGTCTTTTGTTATTTTGTTGTGGTCTGTGTCTGCTTTGTTCGACCCCACAAGGGATTTAAATGCTTTGTTGGGGCATTATGAAGAAAGGGTCTGCCTTCCTATTTGCTCTGGTTTTATTTTTACTATTGGTTTATTTTTTCTGTAAATCTGAGAGTTGAATTGAATCTAGGCAAAACAATGACAGTGGTTAGTAAGAATAAAAAAGTTGGTTTATATGAATACATGGAATTGGTTGAGCGATATTTATTTTTATTTCCCATGTCCTTAATTATTTTTAATGATAACTCTTTGAAATTTTTTTTTTTTTTGCTAGGAATGTGGGTTGAAGATTTTCCTCGAGGTGCTGCAAGGCACTGGTGTGATTTTTGGCTTGAATACAGTTTGTCATAGCTACTTCTCTGGTCTGCGAGGCTATATAGCTGCCTCTGCTTCTCTCACCAGTGTTATTCTTGATGTTTGTTGACTTTCTGTCTTGGATGAGTGTCCTTAAAAAAACATCTGTGGTTTATTTATTTGCTTACCTAAAGCCAGTAGTTCTAATGGGAATGCCTATGAGAAATGAAGATTTCTCTAGTACAGAAATACTTATTTGGTAACCTTAGTTAATTGGACTATTCATTACACTTATTTTGAGGCTGGTAGCAATAAAGTTTCTGTAATTTTAATGTTTTTATAAATGGATAATTACTGTGCTCTGATTTGGTGACTTTAAGTAGGAATATTATATCCCTACTTGTCATAATTACTAACTGAATACAGCAAGGAAAAAGTTGTAAAAATAGAGGGAAATACATCTGCAGGCATGGGAGCTTAGCCACTGCCTCCCCCATTTCTTTCAGTATGGGGTTTTATAGCAGAGAAACATCACCGATACGAGCTTGAGTGTGAGGTTCTGGTGCTTGCCTGGGGAGCGTGTACATTGCTGGCTGAACCTTGGAGAAGTTAAATTACTTGTGGGTACCTGAATATGATACATAAAGTGCATAGTGTATTTGGCAGTGTGTAGTATGTTTTGAAGTGCTGAAGAGTCAAGCAGTGTTTTCCAGTTTAAGGTAGCATATGGATGCTATATAAAAGCCATTTTTTTCCTGTAAAAAGGGGGAAATAGCAGAACCATAGAAACAGAACGTGGCCACTTCAGGAATTCCTCTTCTCTCTGTGACAGAAGGCTCCAAATGGAGCGTGGGGTTTTGTAGGCACGGCTCACCCAAATCGCTGCCTTGTAACTTCCCCTCTAATCCCCAAATCACTGCTATTGTATCGGACCATTGCATAAAGAAATCCCCAGGAAGGACCAGTTCTGTGTAATCCTCCAGATACTGGTCAGTGTTAACATAACAAATTTATGTTTAATTTTCAGTTTGCTTGTGTGATATACTGTGACTCCCCCACAAAAACTATGCCTTTTTCACCATCTCCCTAAGCACCAGGAGCTGTGTAAGATTTCTGTCAGCTCCTGCAGTTACATTTCTGATTAATTAATAATAATAATTTTTAAAAGTACTCTGAAAGTAATAGTAACCATCGCATAAAAAGAAAATGATGTGTTCACAGAATCAGGGCTTTCTGCTATACTCAGCACTCACAAAACCCGATGTTTTTTCCTAAGTAGAAATACACAGTTTAAAATGTATAAACTTAAAACATACAGTTTAAACTACACGTTTACTCCAAAAGTACTAGGCTGATTTGCAGTAATTTAGTTAGGATTATCTTTTAACTGTTAATTTGGTATTTCATTACAGCCTGGGTGTTTCAACCCAGACCTTAATTGACAAACTCTGACTGGATTCTATTTTATGTGCATCAGTGAACAGGAAAAATAGAGAGCAGCTGGGAGAGCATTGTCTGTCATCTGGTTTCCGGTTTGGACCTAAAATATGCATTCTCTTTATATTTTTCTTGAAGTGATAGTGGAGTTCTTTGGTGAGGAAAGAGAAGTGGGTAGCGTTTTGAGAAAATGTAATGTGAGGTGCTAATGGCATTGTAATTGATTTTGGACTTTTTATTTTTTATTCATTATTCAAACAGATTTTACTTTTGAGTATGTGCAAAGAGAAGCTCTCAGAGTTCCCCTTATCTTCAGAAATAAGGATGGACTGGGAATTAAGTAAGTTACAACCAATTCTTGATGATTAATAAATGCTTTTATAAAATAACCATTATGCTTTCCACTTGTATGTGATATTTCTTTTGATGATCTCAAAATGTATTGCAATTAGTAAGACTGTCAGCACCCTTGAGAAGAGGAATGATTATTTTCCGCTTATAAACAAGCAGATAATGAGGTCTATAAAAGTTAAGTGCATACAGCATGGTACTACACATATCAAAAATAAGTCAGTGATGAAAGTTAGGAATAAAATTCAAAGGTTCTTGCATCCAATCCATGCTGTAATGACAGAACAACCTCCCTTCAATTTTTGACTTCTCGGTTGTTTTCTGCGTTACAGGTGGAATGTCTAATGCTGCCTGTCATTTTCCATTATCATTGTATCTCTTCAGAATGTTATAGCTCTGTAAATATTTAATGACGTCTAGTTAAAATGTGGTATTATTAGTCTTTTTGAGGTTGCATTTTGTTAATATCCAGTCATAAAGGATTTGGTATTTTAATAAGAGAATCCTGCAAGTTTCTTTGTTGAAAGTGACAGTGTGTAAGAGAGAAATACTAAAATTATATACTTTATCAGCCACATAATGCATAGTTTAGATAAATGTTACCTAATACTTTTGGAAATTAGAACTGTGTAACTGATTATATCTGGAAGATGGAAAATTAATTCTCTGAAAGCAGAATTACTTTGCTCAGTTTCAACTAGAACACCTCAAAGTTTAGGGAACTGAAGAGTCCCAATTATTTAAATATAAACGATCAAGCCACCCCACTATAACTTAGGGAAAGAGAAGAAATAGTGTTGGGGTCTTTGAGAAGCATATGTCACCTTACTGTAAGAGCAAACAGGAGCTGCTGTGATCTATTTAATGGTTGGACTGGGTGATCTTCAAGGTCTTTTCCAACCTATCTAGATGATTCTGTGATATCCTCATGATGTAGTAAAATAGTTTTATATGCTGAACTCTGAACAAGAAGTGCTTAATAGGTACTCAATAATTACAGTAATGTTTATTTTGTTGAGCCATTATGTTGTACTGGGATTTTTAAATTTTAGTTATTAAGACCAGCTATTTCTGTACTTAGTCCTGGATGCACAGTCTAGTTTCTTGTTAAAGAAAAAAAAAAAGGCGAACACCAAGATACCATCTCTTTTTTTTGTTTGTGCAAAGCCTTTTTCCTATATTGCATCCTAATTTGTTGATGAAAACGTGCACGTATTCTGTAATCTTTTAGAAGACAGGTAGAAAACTATTAAGTGACAAAGGCTGGTCAGTTCTTAGAGTTTCTAAATAGTTCTATGTTCCTATTTAGTGTTGTAGAAAAATAATTTGACATCCC